AAATTGTTGTGAGAATTAAATCACATAATAGTGATAAAACAGTTCCTGGCATTTTTCAAAAACTGGAAAAGATGAGGCAATTACATAATTGCTACTACTATTATTGCTGCTGCTGTTAATGACACTATTATCTCCATTAGTATTATATCTTGCTACTTGGCTAAGAGACTCATGGGAAAGTGGAAAAGTTTTAGAGTATAAGTTTTTTTTTTTTTAAGATTTTATGTATTTATTTGAGGGAGAAAAAGCAGAAGAGAGCATGAGCAGGGGGAGGGGCAGAGGAAGAAGAAGACTCCCCGCTGAACTGAACGGGGGCGGGGGAGACAGGAGAGGGAGAGAGAATCCCAAGCAGACCACACTGAGTACAGAGCCTGATGTGGGGCTCAGTCTCACGACCCTAAGATCACGACCTGAGCTGAAACCAAGAGTCGGACATTCAACCGACTGCGCCACCCAGGCACCTCACTTTAAGGATATTCTTTTTTTAAAAAGATTTTATTTATTTATTTGATGGAGAGAGACAGAAAGCACAAGCAGGGGGAGTGGCAGGCAGAGGGAGAAGCAGGCTCCCAGCTGAGCACAGAGCTCGACCTGGGGCTCAATCCCAGGACTCTGGGATCATGACCTGAGCCAAAGGCAGATGCTTAACCAACTGTGCCATCCAGGTACCCCCAGAGTAGAAGTCTTCTTAAAGAGGATATCAGCATCACCAAGTCTAGAATTAGGGGAACCAGCAGTAGATTCCTTTTATGTTTTTCCCCTAAACACCAAAATTGAACCCAAGTGCAGAAATCAAAACCAAAATGCACCAACCTTAGCTCGAGTTTTCCTGCTTTAAGAAATGTACTCCTGGGGGTGCCTGGCTGGCTGGCTCAGTTGGTAAAGCATAAGGCTCTTGATCTCAGGGTCATGAGTTCAAGCCCATGTTGGGTGTAGAGATTACTAAACAAAAAAAGAAAAATCACTCTGGGTTTTCTTATGCACAGCAGGGTTAAAGAACCCTGTATTGAAGAAAAGAAAGAAAGAGAGAGAGAGAAAGAGAGGAAAGAAAGAAAGAAAGAAAGGAAGGAAGAGAGAAAGAAATATAGGTACTCTGGAGAGTATCAAACATCTGCTAAATATCAGGAGCAACTAATGCATCTTGAAAACCTCACACAACCTTCCAGACCAAGGATCCACTGGGGAAAATAAAACCAGCTATGCCAATGCTTTGTCCCTCTAACTGAGGCATATTAGAGGAGGATCCAAAAGTAAATAAATAAATAAATAGAACATTCAGAAATGATCAGAGCAAATCTAAGAAAGCTGACTAAACCAAAGCATTTTTTATGTGAGGAAAAGGAGAACAATTACTCCCAAACCCTTCAGTCTCTCAAGAAGTTGTCTCAGGAGACAGGAAATACAGTCGGCTGCCACAGTGTCCCAGCCTCCCCGTATGGCTGGCCTTTGAAGGTAGGGGATCAGTCACATACTGCTTTCCCCTAGGCCTGGGAGGACCCTCGGGGTGGGGAGCCAGAGCTTGCTATAGGATAATCACTAGGAACTTCACAGAGTCACCACAGAAGAGTGAGCAAAAGAGAGAAGGGCGGGAGGCTGCAGCAATGGCTGACAGAGTCCTACCCAGCCCTCAAGTTCCCCAACTCAAGACTTAGCCTAGTACTTCACAGTAAAGACAGGTACTATCAGACAGGAATACCCATGTCTCCCCTCACTGAACCTATCAGCCCCCTAGCATGGGCTCTGACATGGGCAGCCCTCCCTCCCGTCAAATGGATGAAAGGCCCTGTTCCCAGCTGGGACCCCTGAGACCTACACCCAGGATCCCCAGATCCCCACCCTCTCACCTTGTCAGAAACACTGCTCCAGGAACGGTCCCATCTCTTTCCTGCATCATCCATTTCTCCCTCTCTACTGGATCATTCCCAGCAGAACAAAACATGCTCTACCCTCTCCCACTAAAAAAACAGACACCCGCACCCCCACCTCAAACCCAAAACCTCCCCAATTCTCAGCTAATGTCTCAAACCTGCTTCATAACAAAACTGCCTGAAAGATTCACCTATGCTTATTGACCCCATTCTGCACCCCATACTTTCCCCTCTACCTACTCCAATCAGGTTCTGTCCTTTAAGCTTCTGTGAACCCCTCATTCTACTGGGTTTCCTCCTACCTTCTCAGTCTCCTTTGCTGGATCCACCTCTTTCCCCAACCTCTAAATGCAGCTATGTCCCAAGGCTTAGGTCATTTTTCTGTCTATGCTCTCTTCCAAGGTGAGTTCAACTAATCCTGTGGCCTTGAACATCACCTACAATACCCAAATACACCTCTGCAGTCCTCTCTCTTCTGAGCTTCGGGATCCATCCATCTGACTAGTGGACATACTCATATCTCACATGTCAGAACAAGAGCTCATGCCCCACCCCCTACCCCCCCACACCCCTGCCTCCAAACCTGCTCCTCCTCCCAGCCCTCCCACCTGAGTGACAGGAGTACCATCCACTCAGGAGCTCATCTTTGGGAGTCCTCTTTGACTCTCCTCTTTCTCTCACAGACTGTGTCCAGATCATCAAGCCTGAATCTGCCTGCTTCAGATGAAAGCATGTCCAGTGCTACCCCCTCAGTCAAGTCATCAGCCACAGCCTGCTACTACTATCCTGCCCACTACAGCTGCCACCTACATACAGCCCACTCTACAGCAGGGAGAATGATCTTTCTAAAAACGCACATCAAATCACGTTGCCCCCCACTGAAAACCCTCCCATGATTTCTCGCTGGGCTTAGAATCAAGTTTAAAAACCTCTTACCGGGGCACCTGGGTGGCTCAGTTGGTTAAGCGACTGCCTTCGGCTCAGGTCATGATCCTGGAGTCCCTGGATCGAGTCCCGCATCGGGCTCCCTGCTCGGCAGGGAGTCTGCTTCTCCCTCTGACCCTCCCCCCTCTCATGCTCTCTGTCTCTCATTCTCTCTCTCTCAATAAATAAAATCTTTAAAAAAATAAAAAAAATAAATAAATAAAAATAAAAACCCCTTACCCTGGCTCCTAACGTCCTACACCATTTGCTCTCTCCTATCTGTAACCTCTTCTCTTGTGACCTTCTCCCTTGCTCACCATATTCCAGCCACACTGGCCTCTCCACTCTGAACTTGAAGCTCTTTCTGCCTTCAAGCCCTTGCACTGGCTGGTGTCTTCTGGAAATGCTTTGCCATCTCATCAACACAATGTCTCTCCTGACATTCAAATTTTACCTTAAATGTCACCTATTCAGAAACACCACCACAGACCCCTCAATCCACCACCACCACCCAGTTACTCGATATCACATTATGTTATTTTAATTTTCTGCATAGCAGTTACCGCTGACACTATTCTTGGTTTTTAAACTTATTTTCTGGGGGTGCCTGGGTGGCTCAGTCGTTAAGCGTCTGCCTTCGGCTCAGGTCATGGTCCCAAGGTCCTGGGATCGAGCCCCGCATCGGGCTCCCTGCTCTGCGGGGAGCCTGCTTCTCCCTCTGCCACTCCCCCTGCTTGTTTTCCCTCTCTTGCTGTCTCTCTGTCAAATAAATAAATAAAATCTTTAAAAAAAAAAAAAACAAAACTTATTTTCTGCTCCCTCTCCCCACTAGACTGCAAGCTCCATGAGCACCCACACGTTGTCTGCCTCTTTCATTTCTATGGTTCCAATGCCTAGAACAACGTGTGGCACACAAGGAGAAATCTAATAAATATCAATGAATGCAGATACGGCCAGACAGGCCCACTGACTGAGAGGCTCTGAGGTCTTAGCCAGCTCCCCGACTTCTCTCTCAAACACAGACGGGAGGCAGGACCCCAGCCACAGTCCTGGTGTTCACTTGTATAAATCTCATCCACCAGAATTTCAGACATCAGGCAAGAGCCCTAACTAGGGAGGGAGGATCCAGGATTTTCTGTGACCACCGAGCTTCGACTAGGCTGCTCCACTACTGACTAGCAGTGTTCCCAGAGGGTGAAGAAAGGAATTCTGACTCACATGCCCCAAAAGTAATAGTACTTGTCAGACCACCGTCCAGACCTCGGAGAGTTCATTCATTCCGTAAACAAAGATTTGCCGAGTGCCTACTCTGTGCCAGGCACTGGGCAAAGGACCAAAAGCAGCTTCTGACCGCAGGGAGCTGACGCGGCGAGCACGCAGAGCGTTACAGAGAAACGCAGCAGCACAGGTACCCGCGCCGAGCGGGAAAGTAACGGCCACACCAGTGCCCGCGGCTGGGCGGCCCTCTCGAGTACTGCCCCGCGATTCCATCTCCGCAGACCCAGGTCCGGGGTAACCTGGCTAGGGGCGCAACGCTCGCGGGCTTTTTCTGAACAACTACCGCTTGACCAGCGGAGGCAGGAGTGACTGTCCCCGTGGAGCACCGGCTTTCTCAGACGCGCAGTGTTCGAGGAATATTATTGGCTGATGGGTTCCCTCCCCACCCCCACCGCTCCCCCGCTGGCCCGCGCTCTGGAGGGCGAGGGGGTGCGGCTCCGACTCTCCCCCACCACCCCAGAGAACCCGGTCGAAGCCAAAGTCCTCCCCACACGAGATTCCCTCCGTCTCTACTCCCAGCCCCCAGTTCCCGGACCCCGGATGCAACTCCTAGTTCCACTCGCCCCCCCAACCCCCTCCCGGTGGGGCAAGGCCGGGCGCGGTGCTGCTCCGGACCCCGGCGGGGAGGAGTGCCCGGCCCCTCACACCGGCGCCCGAACCCCGCCCAACTGCAGGAGCAGGGGGCAGTTTGCGGCCCCCGCCCCGTCTGCGGCCGGGACTGCGGCCCCCCGCGGAGATGCAGACCCCGCCGCCCCCTCTCCCGGAGCCCGCCACACAACTCCGGCACACAAAACCCCACAGGAGTGCGGCCGCGGCGCTGTGCGCGCCAACTCGCCCGGGACCCGCGCGGGAGGCGGGGGGCGGGGGCGCGCGGCGGGAACCGGTCGGATCCCGTCGCACAGGTGCGAGCGCGGCGTCCGGGTCACTCACTCGATGAAGTAGCTGGCTCCCTCCTCCGTGAAGCCCTCCTCCCAGCCGCGGGGCAGGTCTGCGGAAATGCCAAAAAAGTCGGGTCAAACTTGAGCCGCCCGGGCGCGCGCCCCCGGAGCGCTGCCGCCCACCCCGCCGGCCCGGCTCCCACCTGAGCGGATCATGTGGCCCGAGTTGACTGGCTCCCCGGTGCGCGGGTGCAGCCAGGTCGTGCGGCGGAGCTCGTCACTGCGGGAGAGAGGTGCACCTGTTAGCGCCGCCGCCGCTCCGGGAGCGCCCGCCCGGTCCCGCACCCCGCCAGGCCCCGCGCCCACGCCCGCGTGCCCGCTTTCCCGCGCCGCACTTGATGAAGAAGACGCGGCCGTCCCGGCACACGCCATAGGACCAGTGCTCAGGTAAGGTGTCCCGCCCGACCGCCGCCGCC